CCAACGGACACGGCATCGGCAGGATGCATATGACGGAGGGCAGCGCAAATCTGGCACATCCAGAAAGCATGATTACAGGACCGGAAAACCCTATGCCAGAACTGAAGAGAGGCCGGTATCGTCAATACCAAGCTGGCTTGACAATCCAGATCTGCCCCCAGTCATCACTGACTACTGCTTTAATGTTGTTACTTTGGGTCTCATTCATTCTCTGGAGAAGCTGGGAGAGAAGGTCAGATCGCCTCGAAAGACCGACAAACCAGCAGGCCGTCGTGACCAAAGTAAGCGCTGTGATTTCCACAACAACATCGGGCACAACACGGAAGACTGTGTCGCATTGAGAAAGGAGGTGGCATATCTGCTGAAAAACGGCTATCTGATGGAAATCATGTCTGAACGCACAAAATCGCTTCTAGGACGGAATGATAAAGCGTCACCAAATGAGTCTCGACCCCCTTCACCTTCTGCCCCATGTAAGGTAATCAACTTTATTAATGGTGGGTCTGATTTATGTGGGCTAACGTATTCTGCAACAAAGAGACACGCTCGAGATTATTCCCGAGACAAGTCGTTGCAGGTCTACAGGATCGAGAAAAGTCAAGAAGAATGGAGAAATGCATCAACCACCTTTGACGAGACAGATATTTCTGACCCGGTACAATCTCATCACGATACGTTGGTCATCTCCCTCAGAGTGGCGAATTGCGAAGTCAAACGAGTCCTCATAGACAATGGAAGCACCGCAAATATTACCACCATGAAAATGTTGAGAGAACTGGGAGTCAAGGTGGAGGACGTGACAGGATCCGGGTTAAGCCTAATCGGATTCAACGGGGAGCCAAGCCGAACTCTAGGTAATATATCTTTACCCGTATATGCCCATGGTTTAAATGTGCAGGTCAAGTTCGATGTGGTCGAAAGCCTGCCAGCCTACAACATGATCTTGGGAACTCCATGGCTGCATCAAATGGGAGCAATTCCGTCAACTTATCATCAAGTAGTCAAGTTCCCAACGCCATTGGGAGTGCAAAGCATCAGGGGAGATCAGAAGTCAGCCAAGTCCTGCTACCAAATAGTAATGAGGCCGACTGCAGATCAGAATACTTCCAAGACCGCATAGCAATTAAAGGGTGGCCCTGCTCTGGTGGAAGATGATGCCAAAACACAAGAAGTCGCCATCGACCCCGAATATCCAGAAAGGGTCGTCCGCATCGGGAAAGGCATACCAACACATCTCAGAGACGAACTGGTAAACTTCCTCAAAGAACACAAAGACGTGTTTGCATGGAGCCACGACGACATGACAGGTATTGATCCTAATATCATAACTCACAGGTTAAACATCGGCCCATCACACAAACCCGTCAGACAGAAAAGAAGACGCTTCGCCAAAGAAAGGAATGCCATTATAAACCAAGAAGTCGATACGCTGCTTCGGACCAGCAAGGTAAAGGAGGTAAAATATCCTGATTGGTTAGCTAATGTTGTTGTTGTTCAGAAAAAGAAAGGGCATAAGGAGGGCAAACCGATCAAATGGAGAGTCTATGTGGATTTCACTGATAACAAAGCATGTCCCAAAGACTCATTTCTGATGCCGCATATTGACGCATTAGTTGACGCTACGGCTGGGCACGAAATGCTATCCTTCATGGACGCTTTCAGTGGTTATCATCAAATACAGCTGCACCCCGATGACCATGAGAAAACAGCCTTCATGACGGAGACAAGTACGTATTCTTATGTTGTTATGCCTTTTGGACTAAAAAATGCAGGTGCGACGTTTCAGAGGCTGGTCACTTTGATGTTCAAAGATCTGATGGGGGATACTATGGAAGTTTATATTGACGACATGATCGTCAAATCAAAGAAAAAAGAAGATCATGTCTATCACCTGACGGAACCTTTCAGAAGACTGAGGAAATACAATATGAAGATCAATCCGGCAAAATGTACTTTCGGAGTGACATCAGGAGAGTTTTGGGGATATATCGTCAGTGAACGAGGAATAGAGGCAAGCCTGGAGCAAATACGAGCAATTATTGACATTGAATCTCCAAAATCCGTCAAAGATGTCCAGAGGTTGACGGGACGAGTTGCGGCTCTGAATCGCTTCATTTCGAAATCGTCAGACAGGTGCCATTTGTTTTATGACGTTTTGAGAAAGAACAAAAAAATTGCATGGACAGATCAGCATGAGCAGGCGCTTCAGCAATTAAAAGAATACATGATGTCGCCATTGTTGCTTGCAAAACCCAACGACGACGACGAATGGCAGCTTTATCTAGCCGTTTCAGAGCACGCCATCAGTGCAGTATTGACGAAAGAGGAACAGGGGCAGCAAACTCCGGTCTATCATGTAAGTAAATCCTTAAATGGCCCCGAATCCAGGTACGCCTTACTTGAAAAATTAGTTTTAGCTCTAGTAATTGCTTCAATTAAGTTACGCCCTTATTTTGAATCCCATACCATCTGGGTTCGAACTAATTATCCCATGAAGTCTATCATGAGGAAACCGGAGTTGACAAGTCGCATGGCTAAATGGTCGATTCAACTTGGAGCCTATGACATAAGGTTTGAACCAATAACTGCTCTGAAATCGCAGTCACTTGCAGACTTTGTGGCGGACTTCAGTCCAAAACTCCAAACAAAAGCAGAGAAAGAGAGTTGCATCTTGATTGACGGGTTGCCAAAACAGAAATGGACGTTGCATACTGACGGAGCGTCGAACCAGAATGGCGCAGGCCTGGGCGTAGTCCTGAAGTCACCATAGGGGGACACCATGCTCCAAGCAGTACACTGTGATTTCACTGCTACAAATAATGAAGCGGAATACGAGGCATTAATCGTCGGACTTACATTGGCAAGGTATTTGGGCATCAAAGTCCTGGAGGTAAAATGCGACTCTCTATTCATAATTAATCAAACTCATGGTGTTTATGCAGCAAAGGGCCCAAACATGACATCCTACTTGCAAATTGTCCTGGAGTTGATAACACATTTGATGAGATGACCTTCGAGCAAGTCCCACGTGAAGAAAATACACAAGCTGACGCTCTAGCCGCGATCAGATCATGTCTGGGGGCAGAAATTAACAGCAACATCCCTTATGTGCACTTGGCGAGTCCAGCAATTTACAGATCAGAGGTTGTCTCTACCGTTGAAACCCCAACACAAGAAGATTGGATGCAACCATACATAGCATATTTAAAGCACAATACTCTCCCGGAAGACAAAAAAGAGGCCAAGGCTTTCCTATCTAAGGTAAGTAAATTTCTACTAATTGATGGCGTTTTGTTTAAAAGATCTGTCGCAGGTCCGTATCAAAGATGTCTGACATCTCAAGAAGCTGTCAAAGTGCTGAAAAACCTTCATGAAGGGGAATGTGGCAACCACGCGGCCGGGCGAAGTCTGTCTAACAAAGCTCTTAGATTCGGATACTACTGGCCAACCATGAGAGAAGACGCGGCCACCTTCACTCAAAGATGCAGGCCTTGTCAGATGCACGGACCAATTCGTCATCAACCCTCTGAGTCGCTTCATCCAGTCCTATCGCCATGGCCCTTTATGAAATGGGGTATGGACATCGTAGGAAAATTGCCAGAAGCATCGGGGCAAAAAGTATACATGCTGGCAATGACGGATTATTTTTCAAAATGGGTGGAAGCTGAGCCATTCCGTCAGATACGAGATGACCAGGTAATTTCGTTTATCAAAAGAAACATACTTTGCAGGTTCGGCGTTCCGTTAGAAATCGTCTGCGACAACGGATCTCAGTTCATAAGCGCTAAGACCAGACGGTTCTGTGAGAGGTACAATATCAAGTTGGAAACGTCGACACCCAGGTACCCGCAATCCAATAGACAGGCTGAATCCAGCAACAAGATCATCATCGCCAACTTAAAGAAAAGACTCGAGAAAGCACAAGGCAAATGGGCTGACGAATTGCCCTTGATACTATGGGCGGACATGACAACTCCAAAAAATGCAACCGGACAGACCCCATTCTCTCTGGTGTATGGCTGCAAAGTGGTAATTCCTGCTGAAATTGAAGTACCTTCTTCGAGATATGGGCTCATGACTGAAGAATAGAACAATGTGGAATTGACGCATGACTTGGATACCATTGACGAGATCCGTGAACGAGCCAAGATTCGCTTGTAGACGTATCAACAGATGGTTTCAAAAAGTTATAACAAAAATGTCCGAGCGAAGGTGTTCAAGAAGGGAGACTGGGTCTTAAGGAGAGTATTTGGCAACGAAGCGGCTGGTAAGTTTAGTCCTAATTGGGAAGGGCCCTACAAGATCATTGACGTCGTTGGTCAGGGGGCATACCGCTTGGAATCAGTCGATGGTAAACGAATCCCCCGAAGTTGGAATGCGGTACACTTAAAACTTTTCCATTTTTAATTCATTTTTCGCACACCTGTTCTTATGACTTTGATGCAGGAAGGCACACGAAATTGGCAAAGTCACAAGTAATTAGCTACGTTTCACATCATCTTTGATATAGCAAATACAATTCATCGTTTACTAACTTGACCGTCGGAGGGCCGTTGTCCTCAAGCCAACGGCCGACCTCAACGGTGCAGTATTATAGCAGGACTATGACGGGCTGAGGTCTAAACACGAGACGACGCAAATGCCAGAACAACAGGTAAAGCATCCGAACTTGCTCATGACGAAACGTCAGTGTTTAGGGGACATGGAGCTCATCATGAAAAAACCATGAATGAAGGTCCATACAACCTGATACGTTTTGGCCAAAACACAGACATATATATGACTGAACATACACATGGCATGTTGCACACATAAACAACAAACACATATACACGACAGAACACGCATTAGCGAAAACAGGATTCAAGCAATAGCGAAAAATAGCGACAGAGTCACAAAACGACATGGACATGGCTTGGATAAACCACTAAGCACGAGATCCATAATTGCACAACGAAGCGTTAAGTCCCTGATAAACCACCAGGAAACCATAACGCAAGAAGAGTAATGTTAGAGTAAGTTTCAAAAAGCAGAAAGTGTTTGGAGCCAAGCAAATAAAGAAGGAAAAACATGTTTAATTGTCACGGGAACGCTTGGATTCAGCTTCATCGTCAGATTGGCCCACGTCAAAACCATCATCTCCAATCGGGGGATCCATTTCTTCCTGGAGCTTCAGCCAGGTAGCAACATCTTGTTTCGCTGTCTAGTTTGACATCTCACCTGCGATGAATGAAGCCATCAGTTCGCCCCTAGTCTTCCGAGCGTAAAAACAAGTTGCGTCAGTAACTTCTTGTTTCTTTTTCCTCCCATATGCCTCCAATAGCTTGATGCGGGTTTTCAGGGTCGAAATTTGATTCACCAAGGTCGAGTTGTCCCCGCGAAGATTTTGAATCGTTCGAGCATCAACATCAGCACGAACTTGAGAACTTTTCTCCTTCCCTTTTAATTCGTCCACAGTTTTTTCCAGTAAAACCAACCTTCCTGCAGCAACAAGGTTGGCTTGAACACTCTGCCAATATGAAAAAATTCTCGTTAGAAGGAAATTTAGATTTTTAGACAGATGTTGAACATTTACATAGTGATAAGATACCAGGAAAGCATAGGTCGACGAAGCCAACGCTAGGCCAGCTGAAGAGATATCAGCAAACGCGGCAGACAAGGAGGGAAGCAGAATCTGAGGCATTTCACTTTTCATCATAAAAGCGTCCTTCAAACAGCAAAAGTCACGAGAAAAGGAGGCATTCATCTTCACACCAGAGTCAGAATTAGCAGCAACATTCACCGGAAGGGAAGGAACAACTTTCATTTCAACAGTCGGGCAATGCGGAGTTTTGGGAGAACCAGAGGCCAGCTTGGAAGGAACTTTTTTCTTTCTCGAAACCATGTTAAGGAGTTCATAATCAGAAGGCATCAGCCGCGTGCTAGATGAAGAAGCAGCTGTGGTACCAAAAAAATTGCATGATGTGTTAAAATTCTAGGCAAAGCTATATTTGGCAAGTAAATGAAGTAACAGAAATGAGTACCAGCATGTTGGGCAGAACGTTTCGTTGGGAGAGAGCAAGAGTCCTGAACAACGGGGAACATCATCTGGAGAGGAACGAAAGCACTTGCACCTTCACCGCCACCTCTTGAATCTTCTGATTCATGATCTGAATCGTCTATGGAGACCACACGCGAGCCTTGGGCATTGTTAGGGACATTCTGAATATTACGGCGAGAATGCCTTAATCCAATGGACCCAGAAGGGTCAGGAATGGGGGGTGTACCTTCGTTATCAGCCATCAGACTCCCAAAGGTCCGCTCAACGGTGGTTATGGATAAAATTTTAGCAGTTCTTTCTTCAGAATTCGAACCATAATTCAATGGGATTGTCTTCCTATCTACAGAAATAAATGATAATACATCTCAACATATTACGACCCAGTCATGTGGCAACTAAATACATTCGAAATTTATATACAGAACAAGGAAGTATCAAGGTACCTTTGTGCAGACTCTCTTCAAGAAACGCCCCATCAGAACCTAGGGAATCTTTCCGTACAAAGAAGAAAAGACTCATCCAACCGCGATCATTGGCCTTGTCCGCCATCAAGATAAGCGCTTCACGAGCATCTTTAATAGCCAATGTGAACCGTCCAGCTCCAGAAGAGTGAAGATCATAAGTAAAACCCAGATCTTCAAAGGTGAAGGGAATACTGTGTTTTTCACTTAGTACTTCCAGTCCACGAAGAACCCTCCATACTTGTGGCATTATTTGAGAGGGGAAAACTTTGACGAAGGCCAAGAAGTCTCTAGCTAGTGGAGAGAAAGGAAATTTCATACCAATCTTGAAGGGGTACATGAAGAAATTGACCCAACCAGTACAGTACCAGTCAGATCGCTCATTGGCAGCCGGGAACCAAATTGACGCATGCGCGGGAAATCCAGAGTTGTTCTTGATGATGTCAATGTGATTTTTGGATAGTCTGGCTTGCTTAGAATTTCTCGGATCCAAGATGTGTTGCGGGACAAACATCTGGGAATCCATGATTTCCCACAAAGAGCTTTGGTAGAAAGAAGAAGAAAATTTGAAATTTCTTAGAAGAAGAAGTCCGGAAGAGAGAAGGATTAGCCTGATAGACGTTTGGCTGCTCGATAAAAAAGAAGGCAGACGGCTTTTCAAGTTTCAAGGCATAATTCAAAATTCGAGAAAAGTGACTCGTCATGTGGTAAAGTATGATGCCGAGCACTATTTCGAATTTGGGGGCAATTGTTGGGCCTGGATTTGTGCGCAGGCCGGCCTACTTCGGAGGAAAATATAAATGCTGCAGAAGGACTAAAACCCAATTAGATGAATAAAGTGGCCACAAAAACGGAACTTAGTCAAGTTGAGAAGAAAGTGGAGCGGATAAGAACGAGTTGGCTTGAGGAGAAGAAAACGGAACAACCAACGTGGCAATAGGAATGGCTAATATCTCGGCTAAACAGTTCAAGTCGTTGGAGATTTGAATTTTTTTTAATCATTTTAAATAGACTATCGGCAGGGGGAGATAGAGAGATCAATTCTGATCAAACAGTTTACTTTCACTCTTGTATTCGCATCAACAATCATAAATCAATATTCGAATACATACTATATTTCTACTAGTTGTAATTTATCTTGTGCGATTCCCGTTTATATGATTTGATTGTTAGAAGAAATTCCGATTTCTTGCCTAAACAGCAACCACCTTTACTCAAAGATGCAAGCCTTGTCAAGTGCATGGATCAATCTGTCATCAGCCCGCTGAATCACTCCATGCGATTCTATCACCTTGGACCTTTATGAATTGGGGGATGGATATCGTCGGGAAGCTGCCAGAGGCACCAAGACAAAAAGTATACATGCTGGCAATGACGGATTACTTCTCAAAATGGGTAGAAGCTGAGCTATTTCGTCAAGGTACGAGATGACCAGGAAATCTCGTTTATCAAAAGAAACATACTTTGCAAGTTTGGCATTCCGTCAGAAATCATCTGTGACAACGGATCTCAGTTCATAAGTGCAAAGACTAGACGATTCTGTGAAAGGTGCAATATCAAGTTGGAAACGTCGACCCCCATGTACCCGCAATCCAATGGACAGACCGAATCCAGCAACAAAATCATTATTGCCAACATGAAGAAGAGACTCGAAAAGGCGCAAGGCAAATGGGCTGACAAGTTACCACTGATACTATGGGCGGATAGGACGACTCCAAAAAAAGCAACTGGGCAGACCCTGTTCTCCTTAGTATATGGCTGCGAAGCGGTAATACCTGCTGAAATTGAAATACCGTCTTCAAGATACGGGCTCTTGACCGAAGAACTAAACAACGTGGAATTGACACATGACCTGGATACCATTGACGAAATCCGTGAACGGGCCAAGATCCGCTTACAGAGTTACCAGCAGATGGTGGCAAGGAGCTACAACAAAAATGTCCGGGCCAAAGTGTTCAGAAAGGGTGACTAGGTCTTAAGGAGAGCATTCGGCATTAGCCCCAATTGGGAAGGACCCTACAAGATCGTTGACGTTGTTGGATAGGAGGCATATCGCTTAGAATCAGTTGATGGTAAACAAGTCCCTCGAAGTTGGAATGTGGTACACCTAAAGCCTTTCCATTTTTAACTTACTTTTTGTTCTCGCATTTTATTTCTATCAAAAAGAAATAACTTTACTAACTTAAACATCGTAGGGTCGTTGGCTTAAGGCCAACGACCAGCCCAAACTATGTCTTTGGTGCAGGAACGCACGAGAAAATGACAAGGTCACAGGTATTTTATGATGTTTCATATTTTCTCCAATACAACAAGTATAATTCGACATTTACTAACTTGATCGTCGGAGGGTCGTTGGCCTCAAGACAACGGCCGACCTTTTAAGCGTGGTGACATTGCAGGAACATGACGTTTTGAAATCTAAGGACGAAACAGAGAAAACGCCGGAACTATGGGTACTGCGTTTATACTTACTTGAGACAATACATCAATATTCGGGGGACATGGGGCTCATCATAAAAAACTATGAATGAGAACTCACGAAGCCTGACACGTTTTGGCCAAAACACATACATATATGACAAAACGCACATGACAAACATGCGTACATACATGACGGAACGCATGAACATATATGACAAAGCGCATAAACGAAAAGATATAATACGAACAGTAGCAGCAGATTCACAAAACGACATGGACAAGGCTTGGATAAACCACCAAGCACAAGGTCTATAATTGCATGACGAAGCGTTAAGTCCGGGATAAATCACCAGGAAACCATAACGCAAGTCGAGCAATGTCAGAGCAGTTTCAAAAAGCAGGAGTTGTTTGGAGTCAAGCAAATAAAGAAGGAAAAGCGTGTTTAATCGTCCCGGGGACGCTTGGATTCAGCTTCATCGTCAGATTGGCCCAAGTCAAAGCCATCCTCTCCAATCGGGGGATCCGTTTCTTCTTGAAGCTTCAACCAGGTAGCCACATCTTGTTCCACTGTCCAGTTTGACATTTCGCCTGCGGCGAATGAAGCCATCAATTCACCCCTAGTTTTCCAAGCATAAAAATAGGCTGCATGAGTAACTTCTTGTTTCTTCTTCCTCCATATGCTTCCAATGACTTGACGCGAGTCTTCAGGTTTGAGACTTGTTTGGCCAAGGTCAAAGTTTCCCCACGAAGATTTTGGATCATTCGGGCATCAGCATCTGTGCGGGCTTGAGAATTTTTCTTTTTCCCTTTTAATTCGTCTACAGTTTTTTCCAGCAAAGCCAGCCTTTCTGCAGCAACAAGGCTAGCCTGAACACTCTGGAAATATGACGAAATCCTCGTTAGAAGAAAGTTAAAATTATTAAGCAAATGCTGAAACATCCATATTACGTAGTAATAAGATACCTGGAAAGCATAGGCTGATGAAGCCAAAACTAGACCAGCTGAAGAAATACTAGCGAACACAGCAGACGAGGAGGGAAGCAAAATCTGAGGCATTTCACATTTCATCATGAAAGCGTCCTTCAGACAGCAGAAGTCAGGAGAAAAGGAGTCGTTCATCTTCACACCAGGGTTAGGATCAGCAGCAACAGTCACCGGAGGAGATGGAACAGTTTTCATTAATTCAGCAGTCGGGCAATGAGAAGTCTTGGGAGAGTCAGATACCAGCTTGGAAGGGATTCTTTCCTTCCTCGAAGCCATGCTGAGGAGTTCATAATCAAAAGGCATCAACCGCGCGCTGGATGAAGAAACAACTGTAGTGCCAGGAGTTTGCATGATACGTCAAAATTCTAGGCAAGGCAATTTTGAACGAATAATCGAAGTGAACAGAGTTTGAAAATGAGTACCAGCATGTGGGGAAGAACGTTTCGCTGGGAGGGGGCAAGATTCCTGAATAGCAGGGTACACCACTTGAAGAGGAACGAAAGCACTTGCGCCTTCGCCACCACCTCTTGAACCTTCTGACTCATGATCAGAATCGTCTACGGAGACCACATGCGAGCCTTGGGCATCGTTAGGGTTCTGAACATTGCGGCGGGAACGCCTTAATCCAATAGACCCAAAAGGGCCAGGAGTGGGGGACGTACCTTCGTTATCAGCAACCACGCTCACGAAAGTGCGCTCAACAGCGGGAATGGCTAAAATTCTGGCGGTCATCTCTTCAGAATTCGGACCATAGTTCAGTGGAATTGTTTTCCTCTCTACAACAAATAACAGCAATACATGACGACATGATATGACTCAATCACACAATAGCCAATTGAATTCGAAATTAGTATACAAAACGAAAAAAGTGCCTAAATACCTTTATGCAGACTCTCCTTCAGAAACAATCCGTCAATACCTAGGGAATCTTTTCGCACAAAGAAGAAAAGGCTCATCCAACCGCGATCATTGGCCTTATCCGCCTTCAGGATAAGCGCCTCGCGAGCATCTTTGACGGCCAATGTGAACCGTCTAGCCCCGGAAGAGCGAAGATCGTACGTAAATCCTGGATCATCAAACGCGAAGGGAATACCATGTTTTTCACTCAGTACTTTTAGTCCACGAAGAACCCTCCATACTTGTGGCATTATTTAAGAAAGGGAAACTTTGACGAAATCCAAGAAACCTCTAGCTAGTGGGGGAAAAGGAAATTTCATACCAATTTTGAAGGGATACATAAAGAAGTTGACCCAGCCATCACAGTGCCAGTCAACTCGTTCATTGGCAGCCGGGAACCGGATTAACGCATGCGCAGGAAAGCCAGAGCTGTTCTTGATAATGTTGATATGAGTGTCGGAGAGTCTGGCTTGCTTAGAGTTTCTCGGATCCAAAATGTGTTGAGGAATGAACATCTGGGAATCCATGACTTCTCACAGCAAGCTTCGATGAGGGAAAGACGGGATTTGAAATGTCTTCTCAGAAGAGGGACATTGAAGGAAGAATGAGTAATCTGACATATGTTTGGCTGCTCAATAAAGGAGAAGGTGCGACGGCTTTACAAGTTCCCAGGAGGCGAAATGATAATACACTGCGCAAATCTTAAAACGAGGCATCAACATTCAAAATTCAAAAAAATAATGGGTAGGCGCCAATTATTATTTCGAATTGGGGGTAATTGTTGGACCCGCGAAAGTAAATTATCAGTTGGGTCTAAAGAGTCAAAACAATCGGTGCAGCCCACAACAATTTATTTGAATGAATATTGAAGGAGTCCAGTCGAGGGAAGATAGGCGGATTGGATAAGCACAAGAGACGTGGAGGAAAAGAAAGGTAGTTGCAGTCAAAGGGAAGCCGCCTATTTTGGGGGAATAGTTGGAGCGTGAGATAGGATTTAAACAACATCCTAGTTGCGGAGAGAGGGGCATCATTCTTGTTCACTAGCTCATTAGTACTCGTATACTTGTGATAGACAGTATTAGTGATTTTTATTCATCGTCATCAATCAGAACTTAT